ATGCGGGCCGGAAGGGTTCGGATTCAAGACGTGCTGTCTTGCAGTTTCTTGGACGATTTGCTTGAACTGAGGGATGAGGAGCTGCCAAAGGAAGCGCAGGTAAACTTTGTTTCGAGCCATTTTCTCTCTTGTTTTTGGTAAAGTTTTGAAGTCTTTGAACGCCTTGAAAAAATAAGACAAATCTGGAACGTGAAAAAAAGACTCCGAAATCCTTAGCCAAAGAAAGTTATTCTGAACGGGAAAACGCTCGTGAAAGGTTATACCCACATCAGTTTTTTGCACTAGGAACTGAACTCATGTTTGAAGCTTGAGGTTTAGCCTCAAAAATTTCGTAGAATGTTTAAGAAATTGACGCGCGCACGAAAAAAAAAAAAAAAGGCTCTCGTAGTCGGATTCCGCCGAGTTGCAAACTTTCTTGCACAGATTGATTTTCTCTAAAACGTAATTCAGGGACCTGGAAAAAATCGTCATACTGCGAAAATCCTTGTAGAGGGTGTCTACCTGTAGCAGTAATTCAACTCGTGGAAGCTGCTGTGCTGAAATAAATTATTTACTACATCTCAAGTTTTACGTGTGGGATGTTATACAAGATTGGTACTTCATGATTCTACTTTCTCTTTTTAATGTGGAAAATTTCCTGAAGAATTCGTCGGAAGAAATGAAATATTCTGTAAAAAAAACGGAAAAGGTCAGGTGAAATCACGAGGCATTTCATCTGTGTGCAGTACATTATTGGATACCTTGCGTGTGATCACGGAGTACTGTCCAATATTAAGACTAGTAATAAAATGGGTTCTTTTAGAAGAACAAAATTGGCGGATGATCAAAACTGACCATTGAGCGAAATTTATTCGAATCTTCAAGAAATACGAGGCGCTTTAGTTAATTTTTCCTCAAAGAGTTTTTTTATGTGTGCTGTACACATTTTTTTTATAAAACGGATCAGCCGTTCGTATTTGCATGATTCGAATGCTGATTATGGGCTATTTTAAAATATAAATTCGGATATTGCTCGTTATATTTTCTTTTGCTGTATTGCTATAGATTTAGAATTATTGGCGGCACAAAAAATGCCTTACAGAATCTGGGCAAAGAGCAAGCGTTCTAGCTTCGCTCTTAATCTCTGAAGGCTAAAAAGATGAAATGGGTGTTAATCCCGGATGGCGACTTTCATTTGGTCGCTTTTCGTTTCAGATCCCACTGACATTCGGAGTTTTTATGCCTGTATTTTAAACCCCCTTTTCGCATTGAAAGCCCAACGTAATGTTTTGTCAATTTGGGCATATTTATCTTAAAATCTGTACTAATCAAACTGAGTATGACCGAACGACAATTTTGGCTCTTTGATCAGTTCCAGTTTTCCGAAGTGGTATTAGTTTCATTTCTCTTTCTTCCTGAAAAAGTGCTATTCCAGGTTTAGGTTGATACATNTCCTCTTGGGACATTGATTTTATTCTCGGTTTTCGTTCGTGTTTCAGGTATGGCGTTGAATGAGAACTCTGTCGAGCAAACGGGACTGGAAGGAGTGACCGCGGAAGAAATGGATCTCTTTGAGAAACAGCTCTCGCAGTGGAAAACGAGTTCTACAAGGGCCAGTGTTCCTGCTAACCCCGACCGCGTCCCGCCGTTTTTCTACCGTGTTCCAACCGACGATGAAATCCTGCGACAAAAACTCCGCGAAGAAGCCCGAGCAATATTTCTGCAACGTCGCAGTCGGAATCTAGTGGACCATGACGAACTCAAGGAACTCTGGATTTTGTTGGACAAGCACAGCGAAGGCTCGGCGTCTTCCGACCGCCGGAAAATCAATTACCGAGATTTCATGAAAGTTGCTGAAGTGTACAAAGACAAGTGCAAGTCTTACTTTAAGCCGTCACTGTTCGCCCAGTTGGTCGAAGGCGATCCCTGTGGACAGGTCCCGATCATTTCGATCTTCAACTACGTCATGCGGAAAGTGTGGTTGCAGCAAACCAGGATCAGTCTCTCGTTGTACGATGCCACTGGTCAGGGTTATCTCACCGAAAGAGACATGGAGAACTACATTACGGATCTCATTCCTACATTGCCGCAACTCGGTGGACTGGAGCCTTCGTTTCACAATTTTTATGCGTGCACCGCGGTGCGCAAATTTTTCTTTTTCCTGGATCCGATGCGGGCCGGAAGGGTTCGGATTCAAGACGTGCTGTCTTGCAGTTTCTTGGACGATTTGCTTGAACTGAGGGATGAGGAGCTGCCAAAGGAAGCGCAGGTAAACTTTGTTTCGAGCCATTTTCTCTTTTGTTTTTGGTAAAGTTTTGAAATCTTTGAACGCCTTGAAAAAATAAGACAAATCTGGAACGTGAAAAAAAAGACTCCGAAAGCCTTAGCCGAAGAAATTTATTCTGAACGGGGAAACGCTCGTGAAAGTTTATACCCACATCAGTTTTTTGCACGAGGAACTGAACTCATGTTCGAAGCTTGAGGTTTAGCCTCAAAAATTTCGTAGAATGTTCAAGAAATTGACGCGCGCACAAAAAAAATAAAAATAAACAGGCCCCTCATAGTCGGATTTCGCCGAGTTGCAAACTTTCTTTCACAGATGGATATCCTCTAAAACTTAATTCAGGGACCTGGAAAAAATCGTCATACTGAGAAAATCCTTGTAGAGTGAGTCTACCTGTAGCAGTAATTCAACTCGTGGAAGCTGCTGTGTTGAAATGAATTAGTTGCGACACCTCAAGTTTTACGTGTGGGATGTTATGCAAGATTGATACTTCATGATTCTACTTTCTCTTTTTAATGTGGAAAATTTGCTGAAGAATTCGTCGGAAGAAATGAAATATTCAGTAAAAAAAAACGGAAAAGGTCAGGTGAAATCACGATGCATTTCATATGTGTGCAGTAAATTATTGGATACCTTGCGTGTGATCACGGAGTACTGTCCATTATTACGACTAATAATGAAATGGGTTCTTTTCGATGAACAAAAACGGCGGATGATCGAAATTTATTCGAATCTTCAAGAAATACGAGGCGCTTTAGTTAATTTTTCCTCAGAGTTTTTTTATGTGTGCTGTACACATTTTTTTTATAAAACGGATCAGCCGTTCGTATTTGCATGATTCGAATGCTGATTATGGGCTATTTTAAAATATAAATTCGGATATTGCTCGTTATATTTTCTTTTGCTGTATTGCTATAGATTTAGAATTATTGGCGGCACAAAAAATGCCTTACAGAATCTGGGCAAAGAGCAAGCGTTCTAGCTTCGCTCTTAATCTCTGAAGGCTAAAAAGATGAAATGGGTGTTAATCCCGGATGGCGACTTTCATTTGGTCGCTTTTCGTTTCAGATCCCACTGACATTCGGAGTTTTTATACCTGTATTTTAAACCCCCTTTTCGCATTGAAAGCCCAACGTAATGTTTTGTCAATTTGGGCATATTTATCTTAAAATCTGTACTAATCAAACTGAGTATGACCGAACGACAATTTTGGCTCTTTGATCAGTTCCAGTTTTCCGAAGTGGTATTAGTTTCATTTCTCTTTCTTCCTGAAAAAGTGCTATTCCAGGTTTAGGTTGATACATGTCAACGGTTGGGCAATACTGTTGTTCGCCGTCGTTCCCACTAACGTGTGACCAAGGCACCTGTTATCTTGATTGTGAAATAACGTGAGATTGATCTTACCGCTGTTTATTCAGCTTCCTTTGAAATCGCGCGTTTCATTTTTTTTTTCTGTTTCCAGCGTCCGCGTGGGAAATGAGTGTGCGAGTGCTTATGCAGTAGCTGTTCGATTTTCGTTGGAATTCAGGCGCAGTGAATCATGTCTGTTTTCTCAACGATAGAATTCTATTGCTCAAGTTATTTTTCTCTACTGATGGTCAAAGAAAGCGGGAAATCACTTGATACGGGATGTTATCAGATGAGGAATTCCATGGGAGAAAAATGAGATTTTGAGAACCTCGCTCGATTTTTGCAAGAATATTCTCGAATTCCCAAATTTGTGAGTGCCGTCATGGCGGTATCCAGTTACGCGTGGAGCTTTTATTAACTGCTCTGCTGATGCTATCGAGTTAAATGTTTACTTATGTTTGATCGTGGGAACAACGATACCCCCTGGGTGAGGTACTTCTACGCTGACGCGGGAAAATTTGAAAGAATTTTCCCCTCCCTCTCTAAAATAAACCTGCTCTCTATTCAAAGTTTGTCTTCAAAGACATTAAGCTTGAAATTCGTGGTTGATTGAGCTCCATCGATTTTATGCGTGTTTTATTTGTTGTATGCAGTATTTTAGTTCGATGTATGAAACATTAACGCACGTGAAATATTGGAAATGTATCTTTCGAGTCGTGACGAGCGGGACTGTAATTTTCAACTATTGCTGTACTGTACTTGAAAAATCCAACGTCAATTAGGATTACGAAATCGGAATGTCGCACGTGTTGAAACTTTTTAGGAATGTCACCCAAATGCGTTACTATCGCGTAATTAAACTGTTCGGATTTCTCCAAATGGAGCATTCGATGTCTGTTTCTCTAGAAAAACAAATGGTCTTAAATTCTATTTCTTCCCATTTTTTCATTTAAATTCTTTGAAAAAGACAAACTGGTTTTCTGTGTTATCAAATACAGTACTAGTATTATCTGTTCTCAAGTTTCTGAAGTGGATGGCTGAAGGACTGTTCTGTGTTCGAGTTTTGATATTTAATGCAGTTATACTCCTCTTCGGGCGTTCTCTTTTCCCATTTTCAAGTATTTTCAGTCGGAAAAAGTGGTTCTCTACGTATTTGAAACAGTTTCTTGCAAGTGAAGTGTTTCTCTGGCTCGGATAATCAAATTACAGTACGGTACTGTAATGTAATTATTTCTGAAATTTAGTTATTTCCACTCTTCATGTTTTTATAGTGGTCCGGCTCAGATTTTCAGTCAGCTCAACAAATTTGCTTTTGATCTACGGTATTTGAATCCGTTGACTGTTTTTTCGAGCAAACATTCGATACCTGTAATGTCCATTCCGTTTTCAATTATCTGTGCCTGTACTTGATTTTTTGGCGTTTGCGAATAATTTATTTCTAGGAGACGAACTGGTTTTCTGCACCATCCGCCTTGAAAGTGTATGGCCAGTATCTGAATCTAGACAAGGATCACAACGGAATGCTCAGCAAAAAAGAACTTCAGCGGTACGGCACTGGTGTTCTCACGTCGGTTTTCATCGAGCGACTTTTCGAAGAATGCCTCACTTACGACGGGGAAATGGATTACAAAACCTACCTCGATTTCGTGCTTGCCCTGGAGAATCGCAAGGAACCGCAGGCCTTGCAGTACTTCTTCCGAATACTCGATGTCGGCAATCAGGGCTACTTGACCACGTTTTCGCTGTCTTATTTCTTCCGGGCTATCCAAGACCAGCTGAAGTCGTTGGACCAGGACCCTGTGAGTTTCTCGGATATCAAGGACGAATTGTTTGATATGATCAAGCCTCAGGAACCGGATCGTATCACTTTGAAGGACCTGTGCAGGAGTGGACAAGGAGATGTGCTTGTCAGTGTTCTGATTGATCTGAACGGGTTTTGGACCCACGAGAATCGGGAATTGATGGAGTCGGAATCTGTCGAGATTCCTGCGAATAGTGATACTACTGACAGCTCACCCGACAAAGAAAGCGCGTAAAAAGTTCGAGGGTTTTATTTGGTTTCCGCACAAAGTCAAGGGGGAGTTTTTAGTACAGTATTCGTTACTGTGTTTATCATTAGTTGAAACATTTTTCACTTATTAAATGTACGGTATTGTTAAATCACTCCAGAAGTGGTAGTTTGAACGTTCAATTCTAAAATTTGTGTAATGAAGTGCGCTCCTATGAGAATATAGGGGTTCAAAGAGAGGTTGTCTTGTTGCGCGTGACTTCATTTGACTCTGAAGGAGACAGCGAGGAAACCATCTTTCGTCGCAGTATTTAAAGATACTGTACTGTTCGTCACAGGAGAATTTCCTGGAACGTTTCCTCTAATTTTTGTCAACGTAAGTGAACTACAATGCTGTATTGTTTTGAAATCTTAAGAAATTGATGTGTTGGTCCATTTCGATTTAATTTTTTTTGTGTATAAAGGCCGATGATGAAAAAGCTAGTTTTACTCTCGCAGACGTCTAGTGAAGAATTTCTTTAGGATTTACTCGAAAAAGGCTTGTGCCATTTTTTCAGACCACTAACAATCTCGAACTAATTGAAATTATGACTCATTGATCCATGAGGGGCAGAAAATAGGTGAAAACGGCGACTTACTTTTTTCCATCTTGATCTTGAGGGTGAATTTTGGAGTTGGGTGGAAAATNCCTACCTCGATTTCGTGCTTGCCCTGGAGAATCGCAAGGAACCTCAGGCCTTGCAGTACTTCTTCCGAATACTCGATGTCGGCAATCAGGGCTACTTGACCACGTTTTCGCTGTCTTATTTCTTCCGGGCTATCCAAGACCAGCTGAAGTCGTTGGACCAGGACCCTGTGAGTTTCTCGGATATCAAGGACGAATTGTTTGATATGATCAAGCCTCAGGAACCGGATCGTATCACTTTGAAGGACCTGTGCAGGAGTGGACAAGGAGATGTGCTTGTCAGTGTTCTGATTGATCTGAACGGGTTTTGGACCCACGAGAATCGGGAATTGATGGAGTCGGAATCTGTCGAGATTCCTGCGAATAGTGATACTTCTGACAGCTCACCCGACAAAGAAAGCGCGTAAAAAGTTCGAGGGTTTTTTTTGGTTTCCGCACAAAGTCAAGGGGGAGTTTTTAGTGCAGTATTCGTTACTGTGTTTATCATTAGTTGAAACATTTTTCACTTATTAAATGTACGGTATTGTTAAATCACTCCAGAAGTGGTAGTTTGAACGTTTAATTCTAAAATTTGTGTAATGAATTGCGTTCCTATGAGAATATAGGGGTTCACAGAGAGGTTGTCTTGTTGCGCGTGACTTCATTTGACTCTGAAGGAGACAGCGAGGAAACCATCTTTCGTCGCAGTATTTAAAGATACTGTACTGTTCGTCGCAGGAGAATTTCCTGGAACGTTTCCTCTAATTTTTGTCAACGTAAGTGAACTACAATGCTGTATTGTTTTGAAATCTTAAGAAATTGATGTGTTGGTCCATTTCGATTTAATTTTTGTTGTGTATAAAGGCCGATGATGAAAAAGCTAGTTTTACTCTCGCAGACGTCTAGTGAAGAATTTCTTCAGGATTTACTCGAAAAAGGCTTGTGCCATTTTTTCAGACAACTAACAATCTCGAACTAATTGAAATTATGACTCATTGATCCATGAGGGGCAGAAAATAGGTGAAAACGGCGACTTACTTTTTTCCATCTTGATCTTGAGGGTGAATTTTGGAGTTGGGTGGAAAATCTCAATTTTTATTTATTTAGGAAGTAAAGCAAAATCATCCTCCCTTTTGAAATGTATGTATTGTCCCAAAGATCATAAAATACTGTACCTCTCATTTTTTCGGAATAGGTACTACACTTTGTGCGGAAATCGGACACCTCTCGTACTCGTCGTGCAATGTTTTTTTTTTTCATGTTCTCAGATTGTGATAAAAGTTTTTGACGAAGCGGTCATCCTGTTTGTCACTGCTACGTGCGGAAGATTTTGTGTCGTTGAAACTTTGTGATGCCCGTGTTATTTTTGTCAGCGTCTGACACTCTTTGCCTTCCTTTTCGTTCCTGTTTCAGTTTTTCCAGTATGAATTTGAGCGACTGCACGCTTTGTTTAGGAGCTTCGCGCGTCTGTGTTGATAAAATTGGAGATTCGCGATTCAGAGCGGGATTTTCTCTTTTGACGAAGTCGACCCGTGTATCTGCGTACCTGAAGGGATCTCGGGCTGACACTGTGTTGAAGTCCATTTGTAGTTCCTGTGTGAATGATCTCCAAAAACTGGTGGAAATTGAGGTGAGGCATTTTATCCCAAATTTCTTTCGCATGCCACGGTTTGAAGGGATAAAAAAAATTCCGATTTTGAGATTTGAAGGCTTTTCCAGGTATTTTAAAATCGTGACTCGGAATTTTCAATTTCGTAAAATAATTGTCGAGTGTTCAAGAATTTTTTTTATAATGATCTGTTGCATACTTTCACATTCTGTCTGTCTCGTATTTAATTCGATCACGAGATTGTGGGTAAATTCTCTTGACTGGCAAAATCTTTTTTTTTTCATATATTCAGTCTTCTGAAGCTATTCAGATTGTATTTCCCTCCAGGGAGAATCATTTTCTGAAAGTATTATCGTTTGATGCAAATGCGTTCGAAATTTTTTAAACCTTTATACCTCATAGAGATGCCGATTGGGGGTAGCAAAAGGAAGATGACAAATTTTGGAAATAATTTAGCCCGAAGTAAGACGTTCATACGGTGTTACTAATACAATTTCAGGATGGATTTGCTTGGAGGCTGTCTCTTAAACGTGATCTCGATCTGACTCGAGCGGATTCCTGTGATGACCAAGTGACGGAAAGGCCATTCCTGGCGCCCAGCGCATCTAATCATACATCTCGCTCCAAAAAGAGAATAGTTGGCAAGTTGCGCGATTGTGGCAAGCACTGCTTTATCTGTGCAGTCAAATTCGATTCAGAAATGGAAGCTACGCAGCATATTGCCAAGCATATATGGCCAGGACCATTCGCGTGTGGATACTGCCCCCCTGATGCTGTGAGTTTTCAAGTAGAGTACCGTACTGTAATTTAGTGATGAAGACTCATAATTTTTTCATCCAATCGACATAATCGTTGAGTTCATATTTTTTCGGAAGAATTGGTGGTTGACTGAAAAAAAATGCCTCGGTAATGAAAAAAAAATGCATGACGTATTTCGTCGAAAGCGTATTTTCACGGATACAAGGAACTCGTGCACGATAAACTCGAGGGACATCGTAATGAAGTGATGCGCAGCATTGATACTCGTTCTTTCTGGCGACGTTTAGCGAGGGCTTGTGTTTCCGCGAGGAAATGTTGAGCACTTTTCAAGCTCCTGGATAAAAATTCCTTTTTATGGAATTACTTTCGCAAAACAACAAAAAATGAACCATAGACTCTGTAAAATTGAGGACTCTTCTGTAATCTTAAATACCTGTACAAGTATTTGTATATCAAAAATCCGCGTCTTTCGAATTGTATCTGTAGTTAGTAGTCTTAGAACAGCTCTGTTCAGTGCAGCGTATGATTATGGTCTGACATGATCTTATTGCTCTGTAAATGCGCTGACTTACAACTCAAACATCCATGAACGTTGAATCGTGTGACGAATTATTTTTTTTCTTTGTGTGGGCCAAGTTTTTGCTGAGGAGTAACTTTCAGGTTGGAGTTTACTTTTAGTGAGATGTTGATTTGGATGCGTCCTAAAGATGAAGATGCCCCCCCCCCCCCCCTATTATTTTTCAGTCCCCTGAATTGAAAATTGTCCTTCATACTGCTGTAGTTGACTTATTTATTCTTAATTACCCAATTATTTTCCCATTATTATTTTATTTGATTATTTTCCCAGTTTTAATGCGTTCATGATGCACAAAAATCCTTCTAAATCTTTGAATTTTTTTTTTCAAGTGTAGACGATGGTTAAAGGACTCGAAAAAGTATTTTTCAGGTCCTTGCTGATTAAACCTGTGCAATAGTTCTCACGCTGAAGTTTTCTCGTGGAAATCCGGCTGAACTGGAGTTTGAATGAATGTTCTCACTATTTCTTTTTGCCTTTTTTCAGAGGAAGTACACGAATTCTGACTTGCTGAAAGAACATGCGCTTTCGGGGCATTTTGCACCCGAGTTTCACACAGCGAATTCGAAGCGCCGTGACGTGCAACTCGTCAAGGAATGTGAGCAGCTGAAGCCCAAGGTGAAGCTCGGTCGCATGAAATTTGCTGAACCACGAGTACAAATGATTGACTTCCGACTGGTTCCACCTGATGTGAACCTGAAATCTCTGGAGGACCAAGATCGGCCACCTCGTTCGCGACGGATGAGTGCGTCCATGAATGGTTCAGTTTCCCTAGCGGTTAGTTGCATGTTTTTTGGTTGTATTGTTTTTCCTAATTTACTCTGAAATTTTGCGTATTGTACCGGAATCTCGATCGAAACTGACTGAGGAGATATACTGTATGCTTCAATTCTTTGCCGAACCGAATGCTGTATTCATCTTAGTGAAAACGACGTCGATTCTAAAGTGGGCATCTATTCTTTGGCCTTTTCATCTGTGAGAAAGTTTTCTGGAAAATCTGATCTTTTCTCACGTCACAGTGTGCCAAAAATAATTTGTGTATCAAAAAGGCGCCAATAGTAATACAATAAAACTTCGTTATAACGAATTCTTTCTTGTTCCTCGCAGTTACTCCATTGGAACAATTTTATAAAAATTTCGTTTTAACAAAGGAATTTTTATCAATAACCTCATAACGAATTTTTGCCTTGATGGTGTGTGTGTTAGCCGTTGGAGTTCTTTTTATGACTGACGCAAAAATGTGAAAGTTCAACTTGAGCAATATTCCAAAATTAAAAGTAGAATATATAATCTATTTGAACATAAAATTTAGCATCATTTTAGGAAGTATTAAGCATGCTGCGCTTGAAAAAATGTCTTACGTATGTATCTATGTACGAACATTTTCGGGCACTCGTGCGTTCTTTTACCGTAAAATGAAATCTCGTTACGATAGCGTTGCGATCGTTTCCGCATGAATAATTTTTCTTGTTTTTTCCGAATAAATTATTTCTAATGCGTGTCATAAAAATGCGTGATGGTAGTTGTATAAATTCTAAATTCTAGACAGCATAACGAAATTTGAAGTGAGGCGCTTTTTGTTAATGATGTTCAAAATGGATTCTTCTCTATGCGGATATTGTCTTATTTCGAGTTTTTTTTTAGATAGCTGTAATTTACGTTTTTTTTCCTTCAAATTTTTTAATTTTTCGTTCGTGTGTTTAAATGGACTAAGGGTTATTTAATTTTCCGAGTTCTGATAGCTATCGTTCTTTATTTCTGCAGAACCGTGTTCGTGATCGCCGCTCGTCTGAGCGTGTTGAAACGCGAGGAGGGCATCAAGACGAATTTTTCGCGCCTCCGATGAAGCGACTGTCCGTTGTTCTATCGGACGCGATTCTTCCTGAGCATTAGGATTTCATGTTGGGTTGAAATTTTTTTACGTATGTCGCTTTTGAACCCCTCCTGAAAGGGATCGGACTTTTCCATGTGTGTGTGTGTGTGTGTTCGTTTTGCGATTTCCAGAAAATTTCGGTTGAAATGAAAAGGTATTACATTATATCCACTTCTAATCTGTCTTCTTTTTTTTTTTTCAAGCGAGTGCAATAAAATAAACCATACCCTGATGCGCGTGTTTGGATTTTGCGGACAATGGAGGTCCCAATCTCTGATCATGAGCAGTTCAACTTCACTGCATCACGATATTGAAAAGGATTTCTGCGTAGACTTCATTGCGAGTTTTTTCTTTCTTTTTCAAGTTATGATTAATGTTCAGATTTGGTTTTAAAACGTTGCTCCTATAGAGCATTGGCATTGACGAAAGCATTACAGTATTACCTTTCTACAGTAGCTGGCATCCTTCTTCGCTGCCTCTTCGATTGAGTTTCAAGGCTTCATTTTCTTCACTTATTGTGATGAAAATAAGTAAGGAATATACTCCAAAGTTATGAATCCCCCGAGGATCCGGGCAGAAAACAGGCAAAGAAACTGGCAAGATTTCCATGCGTGAAACAAATAATTTTCAATATTTAATGACTTGAAAATTACCGATGGACTTGGTGACACGAGATGAGGCCACATGATGCTGTTGAGTATGATACAAACGTGGCTTTTGGTTCAGAATCTATTAGGTTGGAGAATTGAAGTGAACATGTACATCTACAGTATTGGGTTAGATGCTGCTAAGTCTGGTTCACTGTCCTATGATCCTGACGAAATAAAGATGATCATGGTTTTATTTTTCACGCGGCTTCAGAAACGAAATCTTTGATAAGTGATACACGGATTCTTTCTGGGTTGATCAATGCATCATTTTAATTACTTTCAAGGGCTATGGTTCTGCGAAGATTGGAAACTTCCTGCTCAAATTTTCAAAGCTTATGTATCGTGTTTCTGTGAAAATAATTTACGCAAAATATCACAACACACCCATTGAACGCGCTTATGAAAATTCCACTGTTTAGATTTTAGAAACTTAGAAAATTATTTGAACTGAAAGTTTAAAGCGAAAGGTCTCGTGAGAAAATTTGGTAGTATAATCGCTTAGGTTTCGAGAACACTGAAAAAATTAGACCTACGTGACGTTCGAATGGACCGCCCAAACAGGACTCTGTTCAGGGGTTGCATAAGGGGAACCCCCCGGGGTCGTAACAGGATTTCCCTGATTTCATGCATGCAACTGGTGTGTAGCAAAATTAATGGTGTTCCTTGGTGTACGGACGCAAATGGGACCCCTACTTGTTATGGAGGAAGCTGAATGTGAACGAATTTGCATGTGCAACGTTCGAGATCATGTACAGTACTGGAATTTCTGTACAGTACCTCTTTCATGATTGTTCAGTGGAGGGAAATGCGACTTCGATAACACATTTATAAGTAAATTTTGAGACGTTGTAATCGCTCTAACGGAATAAGCTCAAATGCTCTCCTTTTTGCCCGGAGCCTATTCGATGAACTGTGCATTTTTGTACGATTTGGTCCTCCGTTCATGAAAGCAACCGCGTCTTTGGGATTTACAGATCAAAAGATGAGCCGTACTTCATTATGCTCTTGTAGACGAACCGTGTTTGTCCCAGGGAAGAGTCGAACGGATCATATATGGAAGCGGAAAGATCATCATGTTGAAGAAGGAAATAAATAAATCTTGCTGAATTGCGGAAGTAGCCATCTCGAAATATGAACTACAGTACTATATTTGAATCATTGGAGAGATGGATCATGGGAAGCACTGCACTACCGCGACAGTGTATGGGTTAGAATTAAAGCCCTGAGTCGTTATACGGATGACATTTGATCTTCTGCGAACATTTTTTCGGAGAAATGGGCTTCTACGCCATTCTTGTTTCAATCAGGAGAGTTCGGATCCTCCGTTGAATTGCCGGCAGAATTTTAGGAGCGGAGTTCTCCGCTCTAGAGCCAGTTCACGTGAACTTCGACATGGTCGAAGTTACAATAGATTGTTGCACAGTTTTGCTTTCCAGATCTGGATTTCGAAGTTCTGGAAATCCTTGCGTGGTCATGAACATATTGTGACGCGGTTTATTGTCGTGGTTTTTTTTTTCGTGTGTGCTGTGGAAACACATTTTACTAGTATCCTCGACAAGCGTTTTGCGCCTTCCAACGTCTTTTCGGGGATAACCGTTATTCCGAGATGGCATGGGTTCTTGAATCCAGTTGACCGAACAGGTTAGTCATTCTGTCTGATGTAGCATATGCGAGCTAAAAGCTATACTTTGAAAGAACGTCATTCGGATCTGAACGTCAGCCGACGAGTGATGTTCTTCCTATGGTTCTTCGCACTTCTTTAGTTAACACTGAATAGGAAAGCAGTTTACCGCGATAGGGAACGATGAAGCAGCATATGTTCATCCTGTTGATTAGCGATGAATATTGCGATGTGTCAAATCTACTTATGTCTGAAATAGGATGTACCAGACGTATCCGCAAATCTTGATTTACAGGTTTTATAGAATGCCCATCTCGTATCCTAAGAAGATCAATCCGTGAGCGTTTCGTATTCAGCGCTTTCAAGTAGGCTTTGAACGTACAGTACTTAACTTGAAGTACAGTAGTTGTCGAGAAAGTAAATCTCATTCCTTGCAGGGAAACTTCTTTTTCAAATGTTTGTTGTGGAAGCTCTTGCAATTATACGATATTAACATTACTGAACTTCTGTGTTTGTCGGAAGTAAGAAATAGATGTTCAACATTATCGGGATTCGGAATTCTCACAAATTGGTATCATAATATGCACTTGTACAGTAGTTTCGTTTGTTTCCTTGTTCATAATATTTTTTCTCGATGTCAGACTTCGGAATAAGAGAAGTGTTGGTGAACTTGTAGAACAATTTATGGAATTCCTTGGTGAGAAACGTAATCTAAGCGTGGCACTTTTTGAAATAGTGCATTCGAATTCGTTCTTTTTTGATTAGTTCAATGTTTGATTCACTGTACTGTATTCATTACTTAATCGAGTATGTATCATGATCAAAGCTCCATCTCCCGAGCGCTTCGGTTGAATTCGCACAAGGTAGTCACATTCGCATAAGTGTTCGATGCTCAAGAATTTGTTGAAACGTTCATCGTTGTTACTGAAATTACAAAAAAGGTCGGTTACAAAGTAATTCAACTGTAGGCCTTCTACGATTTACAGTAACTGTTTTCGCTGTGGAAGTAAGTGCCGCTTGAAAAAGTTTGAAATACTTTTGCGACTCCTCATTCATGGTTTGATGAGAAGTACAGGTAGGAAAACTAGGAATAAACTGTTTCATTTGTGCATTAGAGCTGCTTTAGCTCATTTCTGGATTTTTTTAAAACAAAAATTAGAATAATAATTGCATATACATTACTGTAATTGAGCTTTGCTATCTTGAAAAAAACGTTTTGAATGCGTTTTCCACTACAGTATTCGTTTATTTTGAACTTGTAGAGATACCCGCACATTGTTGTTGACAGAATGATTCACAGTTGAACCTTGATGACTCCATCCTCCGTTTGTCAAATTTTTGAAGTCCCTGTCTGAGATCCCAAAGAAAATGCATTACAAACATATCTTGAAGGCTTTTCCCCTCAAAACTCGGTGACTTGAATTTTCTGAAGGCTGTTGTACAATTATTTTATTGACGCCGGGAAGTGAAAAGCAATGTGTGTAACTTGATGCTGTTTGAAAGGAAGTTCGAGACTAATTGGGCAAATGAACTCAAGTCTCCAATTTCTGCATCATTGAAGAAGCAATTTAAGGCCCAGAATATCACCCATCATAATTTGCAGTAATTCTTCTTGCTTTCCCCCAACAAAAGTCCTTGTTTCCGCCACTGGAAACCTCCCCAAGTGGAATTTCTGTGATGCCGGACCCTTGAAGTTCGGCATGAAGAGGTTATATAGACTTCATTTAAGCTGGTTGAAGTGCAAGATATTCTGTAAAATAAAGATCTACGCAGAAATCTTCCAGCGAATGTGTGTCATAAAACAAACGTATATGCTCCAATTTAGTGGATCATTGTCGAAGCTTATTCCCGGGTATGTTCTGGCCGATAATTTCGCTGCCGGCGACTCGACGAAAAGTCTCTCGGAGTTGCTCACGGGAAATGCGCGAAAAAAGGATTCCGGCTGGATTCGACTCGTGATTTCGCGTGTTTCGTCCAAATATTGTGTATACCACGGAGAACACCCAGCATTTGGCTCGATGACAAACACTGGGGGATTTTCCGTGCTGCGTGGAACCACTCTCGATTCCGCCTTAATACGACCGTCCTTCCCCACGCCTCGCCCCGTATGAGCTGTCGGGATTGGGAACTGATCCAAGTGTGGGATCACCTGTTGGGTTCCGTTCTGCCGACCCAGAGAGGAATAAGTGAGCGCAGTTTCCCTCCACACTGTCTGCTCGGAAGGGGTTATGAGCACAAGCGGTGGCTGCCTGACTCCATCCTTTTGCAACGTGGCGAAAGTCATCCCAGACCTGAATCTGCTGTGAAATGATCAACAAAGGGGATTTCCATTGAACAAACAATGCCGTATTTACAGCAGACTCGTTACAACAAAGCCAATAGGACATCTCAAAATTATTACACTCAAACCTGATAAGACACCACCATCTGTCCAGAGCAATTTTGGCAGTTTAAAGGATTTGGTGGTTTATCCAATATTTAATTTTAAATTATTTGATCAAAACTACTCAATTTTCCTCCAAAAGTCGAAGAGTGGTTCCACGCAGATTCCGGGGTTTTTATAGAAACTTCAGTAATGTTCCAAAGATTATTGCTGTGATCAATGGATTACTTCTTCAGAAAATAAATTTTGCTGCATCAATTTATTCAAATTATAAGATTAAGTCAATATATTGTTCAAAAATTTTCAACAAAGTAATCATTATTATTTGTTTAATTCTTAAAAATATGAGACTTGACAGAAATTATAATACTACCCCAATGTTGGCATTGTAACAAAGACAAAACTAATAGGAAACAGCCCTTTTGTTTCATCACTAATGCTGGCAGATGGCATCTTATCAAGGTTTTCTATAGAATTTATCATAGAGATTTGTTTCAATCAAAATTTTGGCAGTTACCAAGGGT